CTTGAGCTGGAGGGGACAGAGGTTGGTCGGCGGCGCAGCGAGTATGTAGAGATGTACCCAGTGGAGTACCCCTATTCACTTATGCCCAACTCCTTGGCCCACCCCAACTATGCCTTGCCGCCTGCAGAGACCCCCTTAGTCTTAGAACCCTCTTCAGGCCCTGTGCGGGCCAAGTCCACTGCACGGGGGGAGGCGGGAAGTCGGGATGAGCGTCGGGCCCTGGCCATGAAGATTCCCTTCCCAACGGACAAGATTGTCAACTTGCCAGTAGATGACTTTAATGAGCTGTTGGCACGGTACCCACTGACGGAGAGCCAGCTGGCATTAGTCCGGGACATCCGACGGCGGGGCAAGAACAAGGTGGCCGCCCAGAACTGTCGAAAGAGAAAGTTGGAGACCATTGTGCAGTTGGAGCGGGAACTGGAGCGGCTGGGCAGTGAGCGGGAACGGCTTCTCCGGGCCAGAGGGGAGGCTGACCGGACCCTGGAGGTCATGCGCCAACAGCTGACAGAGCTGTACTGTGACATTTTCCAGCACCTGCGGGATGAAGCAGGCAACAGCTATTCCCCTGAAGAGTACGCTCTGCAACAGGCTGCTGATGGAGCCATCTTCCTGGTGCCCCGGGGGACCAAGATGGAGGCCACAGACTAAGCTGGACCAAAGGGGTGGGACTGGTGATGGAGATTTCCTTTATTCCCTTCTGATAAAGGTACTCCCCAGAAGAAGCTGGGTTCTCTAGACCAGAAGGGGACAATGGGAAACCTGGCATTTGGAGCTTCCAAGGTGTATTCAGTAAGGCTTGCCTTGAGACAAGTGTATGAGGGGAGGGCTGGCATCTCTTTTCCGTGATTCAGCTTCCTAGGTCTCCAACCTCCACCTCTTGTTTGAGCTTTGGTATATAAAGCGCTCTACACAAATACCCTTCCACTGTGTCTTCCTTCTCAAGAGAGGGTGTTGAAGCCGAGTACTTAAAGAGTTCAGTGCTTGTTAGTGGTGGGGAGGGAATCCTGCCAAGCTCATTTCTTTCTCCGGCAGCTCTGTATGAGAGAGGTATGCAAAAAATTTGGGCTTGAGCTGTGTGATCTATCACCTTCATCTCCTTTTTCAGAGTCAGAGGTCATGGATGATCTGAGGAATCCCACCCTCCCTGGGGGCCCACTATTTATAGAGTGGGGATTGCTGCCAACACCCTCTGTGCAAGGTCCCTGAGGTTCAGACCTCTCCTGTCTTTGGAGCACAGAAAAGTCTAGAATGCCCATAGCCTTTTTTCTGTTCTCTCCCTCCTGCCTACTTCTATTGGACTTCCTCATTCTGATGTGCCAGAGCTCTCAGAAGTCTGAGATGCTCTTGGAGAGAATTTGATTGGACATCATAGTTTCAAGAGACTTCATACCCAAGTCTGGGCAAAACCTGCTCCCCTGAGGAGGTTATCCCTTTTGGTGAACTTTTCTGTCTCCCTGGTTACGTTAGACACACTATCCCATCCTCGTTTTGGGGCCTCCCTTTTCTAGATTCTTAAAGATCTAGGGTCTTTTTTTTCCTTAAGCAGAACACGATTAAGTTCTAGAATCCTTTATCACATCAAAGTCTCAAACTTCTCTCACACTACACCATCTCCTTGGTTAGAGTTGGGTGGTTCCTATCTTTTCAGTCACTGGATTACACAAATTACCTCTTTGGGGTATTTTACTTCTATTTATACTTCTACTCAACTTTAGTAGCTCCATTCCAACAAGGAAAACATACTCTTACTTTCAAGTTCTGATAGGCACTCAGTTGTGAGACATGAAAAGCAGACAATGATCAAAGGTAAGAGTCTTCATGCTTACAGATTCTCAGAAACGTGGTCTCTAAGCTAGGTTAGGGAATGAAAGCAATTTAAGGCTTCTGATTCTTAATAGATCTGTAAACCGTTCATCTTGGGAACTTTCTCAAAAAACTTGAAAATGCAGGATCAAGTTGTAAAGGGCAGTGCCTGGGATTAGCTGTTCAGCAACTTGATTAGTTCACCTCAAGGACATCAGTTTTTCACTTCTAAGCAAGCTCCCAAAAGTGGTAATGCAAATTTAGACATTTATCCAACACTTGAGCACCCAGGTTCTAGTATTGTTCTAGGCACTGGGAACAAAAATGGGGAGAAATGCCCCCCTATCCTGAAGATCTATTGTAGTACATTACTTGGTGTGTACCTAACTAAAGCAAAAGGTGGAACAGCTTTGGAGCATGATTTGGATTCTGTTCCAGATTCAAAAACAGGTTATCTTCATCTAAAGTTATGTAGATCTTCACCTAAAAAGTTATGTAGCTTAACTGGCAACCTTGTATTTGTAAAGCATGTTGTTAAGTATATATAGAATTTGATAGAGGCATAACGTCATTTTCTTCAACAGCAGTATTTAGCACCCGGTGGCCTGTTGTCCTGTCCTTCTAAACCAGGATTGTGAGAAACCTGTTCTAGGAACTCCAAGCTACGAATGATTCTTAAAATCATAGCAATTAAGACTGCCTATACATTTACACCTCTCTACCCCTTTTACTAGGTTGAAAATAGAGGCTGGATTTTTTCTTGAAGACAGAAAGTTTAAGCATTTGCTAGGGGGTTAATTATTGCCCCCAAATTTTTGGGTCACTTTTGAAAAACTTGATCTTCCCCTCCATATTCATCTTAACCTGGTTCCAGATTTTTTGGAAGCCAGAAATAGCTGGCAATACTTGTGGAACAATTGTGAACAGCTTATTTCTAAGTGGTGAGCCAAGATTTACTCCTGCAGCAAGGGCCAGTTTGATTTCACTAAACCATGTTGTTGATGGGGTAACTTTTACATATTAATACATGGTATTAGAACCACTTGTATTCCAAAAAGCTAAATATCATTTTTTAGTTTGGGGAAGGGTGGGATGGGAAGAACCACTCCCAACCACTTAATTTTAACCTGATCTCAATTTTAATCTGATTTTAAGATGTTAAATGTTGTTCCACCTTTAACATACCTAAGGTCTAACTTGTTCCTTTAGAAGGATCCAAGGAAGCATGAGCAAGGAATGAAAAGGGAAAGACTTTCAACTCTGCTAAAAAATTGATTTACCATTATCATGAGGGGAAAAAAAAAACCAGAACCAAGTTAAAAGCATTTTATTAAAAAAAAAAAAAACATAAAACTGAATAATTCAAGCTGCAAAGCAGCTAACAACTGCATGGCAGTGAAAATGAGGTGCAGTGGCTCAGATAAAGGTTGTCCTCATTAAGGATGTTGCTGCAAGAAAGAAAAAAAAAGTTATCAAGTGTTTTACATAAGCACTTCAAAGATTCTACAATTATACTCATTCTGTTTACTGGGAACCCAGTTGCTTTAAGACATTTTGCTGGCTAAGGTAGACTATCTCATTTTTTTTGGTTCTCAGGCACAGCTTGCCATTCTCTAAAGCACTCTTGCCGATCATAAAGTTCATAAAAAGCTTACCTTTTAGCCATAAATTTGGACAGATGAGTTTCTGTTTTTTTTTGTTTTTGTTTTTTTTTTTTAAAGAGAGTTGATTTTTTTTTTGTAGCAGTTTTTTTTTTTGAAAAGTAAACAACCTTTAGAACTAGCTTTTCTGAGACCAAGTCCCAGCTCAGGGTAAATCCCCCACCCCCCAAAATTAATGATCCACCCTTCCCTCCCGCCATGTTTTGGGGAAGATTCTAATGCATTACTTTGAGCCATTGTTTTAAGAAAATGGGTTAAAGGAAGGTAGCAAATAAAATTAAAAGGCAAAAATATATTGCCACAGTAGAATTAGTGTTCACTTCATTTGGGAGCCAAGTCTAGGGTGTCAATTTAAAACAATTGATCTCCAGAAAAACCAAGTTCAGCTTAACTGGACTAGTTTTGGCTCAATATTAATTAAGGAAAATATAACAGAAAACTGGATTTTAGAGAACACTATATGGATGTAAGTAAAATCTGTTCTTACCTACCAGCATAGCAATAAAACCTTTCCTCCTGGTTCTGACTGCTAGTCCTAAGAGTCAGGTGTGCCTTACTCTTGTCTGCCTCCTTTCTTGCGATGGTCACTGAAACTTCACTCCCTCCTAGCTTTCATGGAGCGTGCCGTGGCCTGCCCCTGGCTTATCTGTACTCCACATACCACAAGTGTCTACTCTCAGCTGTAGAGTGTCTGAGCTCGGAGCCATTCGCGCTATACTTGCTAGCAGTTCCTAGTAGCTGAACATCTCTCCTGGATCTTTAAAGGCATTGTCACGAATCCTGAGGTATCTGCAAACTCCCTCAATAGTTAAGGTTCCACCTGCCATTGCAAACTCAGCCAATATCAAACTCATGGAACTATCAACCATACTTTCCCACCCACCTCCCCCCCACTCCCCGCCCACCCTCCTCCCCAAACTTCCAAGTAACACACCCATGGGATGGAATACACAGTCCTAGTGATAAACAATTTTCTATGCTACCAGGTACAATGGCACTGAAATTGAGGGTACCAAAGAGAGAGCTCAAGAACCTATGTAACAAATAACAATGATTGGATATTAAGTAACTATAAAAAAGGCTTTAGAGAAATCATTTTCTATACAATTAACAAATTTAAGATGGTTGTGTGATGTACCATATTTAAAGGAAAACTGCAGTTAACATGAATATAATAAGGTTCCTCACCACCTCCATAATTTTAATGTCCAAACAGATTCAATAGTATGGTTAATCTATAAACCTCTACTGGGACCCACCCACCAGAACAAAGTAAAACTGCTGTTTTCCTTTAATGTAAGCCTGTTTTTGTATTAGAAATAAGATATTCTTACTGGTGCTGGTCAGTTTAAAAAGGTCTCCCAAACACTTCTAATCTGTGCACTTATGGGGTGGCATTAGCCAGCAGCTGGTTTCTATTCTCTGGCAGAGTTTTGAACTTGAATCGTGATAGAAGCATTCAACATTATGAGGGGTAGTGGGTAGGGAAGTCCAAAGCTCTGCCAGTCCCAAATCCATACAGTTGTCATTCCATTCAAGAGAATATTAAATCGTTTATTGATTACACATGATAATGGATGATACACAAGCTTTAATCCCATCTATAATTTTATCTGATACCATAATTCAATTTAGATATATTGCATAGGATGTGCCAACAATCATATTAATAACCAAATAAACTCCAGGACTTTGCTTGGGTGACCCTTTTAATGGTGAACTCCAGGTCACAACACATTAACTGTCAGTTCAACTACACCAAGGTTTGTGGAGACAATGGCTTCTGTGCCCAAGCAGGTTGCAAATCAATTTCGAATGGAACCTGGCATCACCCTGAAGGAATTCTAACTTCACACTGTTGGGGTAGTATACCAAGATGGCTTCAGAGTAGACTAACTTTACACAGCACATTTAAAAAAAGACACATTTATTCAGCGTCATGATCAGACTATTACATTTAGCAATCAACAGCATGGGTGCAAAAAAAAAAAATCTACATTAAAACCCTTTGTTGGAATGCTTTACACTTTCCACAGAACAGAAACTAAAATAACCTGTTATACAATTAGTCACAAATACAGTCCTCGAGTTTTTTGCCCATACACATGAGTATTGTCTAAAACATGTCTTCTTTGTAGCAGCTAGGCCCTGCCACCACTGTGCTTGGCTGAGTTCACAAATCTGTTGTAACCTGTAGCTTCCCTGTCACTTCTCTGGCTCTCCTCTCCTGCTAAGCTTTGTTTCCTGTTGAACAATATGGAATAAAGTTGTTAATCTAAACATATTAAGACTCAAAGCTACAATCCAATAGCAAGTTTTGTTTCCCACAAATTTTGCTGATCTGAATATTAACTTAATATCCAAAATTTTACTGCAATTATAATGTTAACTATGTTGCACTGCTCAGCTACATTAGGGTTACTGGGTTATCATTTACAAAAATTAACTTAAAACATAAAAAGGTGTTTACTTACCTGGCAGTTAATTAAAACCTTCTGCCACTGCCATAGCTACTGCTGCTGCTGGAACCACCATAGCCACCTAAGAATAGAATTTGTTCCTTTGAAGCTTTGGAAGTGCCAACAATAAGACTTTCTATACAAAGGGGCAATGTAAGTTCAAATTTTCTAGAGTTTGAGCTCACATGACTTTCCCAATTTGACTGCAAATTACCCGGTCACTTAGGTTTCCTAAAAACTTTAAATCGTCAGCATTTCACTATCTATACAAACATTACCTAAAAATTAATGTATTTTTTACTGGAACTAGCTGTAACTACCTAGCATTCCAACAGTGCATATATACAATACCTTGGTTTCGTGGTTTGGCAAAGTATTGGCCTCCACCACCATAGGGGCCAGAGCTTCTGCCTCCAAAATTTCCTCCTTTCATGGGTCCAAAATTTGAGGATTGATTGTTGTAATTGCCAAAATCGTTATAGCTTCCGCCACCTCCAAAGTTGCTTCCTAAGAATGGAAAAAGGACCTTTATCTGTTACTCGAAGATGGTAGTTCTGAATTCTATTTAGTGCTCAGAGCAAAAACAAAACAAAAAAAAACAACAAAAAACAAAAAAACCAACCACAAAACAACAAAAAACTGCATGTTCTGCTTGCCTTCCTCCCAAACTCTGGTAACTCTGAAGGTTGATGAACTATTTCATCCTTTTCTGGGCAAGACACTGAGATGAATAATCCAGTACTTTAAAAGACTTATCCAATGTACCGAGGCGTAACAACATATTGTCTAGCCTTGAAGGCCTCTACCCATCCAGGGCACTGCAAACACATGCTGGATATATCCACTAAGTGCCTAAGATCCAAAGGAGTTAAGATACTAAATCCTGCTGGAAACTAATCTAATTCTGATTAAAGACACCGCTATCCACTTATCCATCTATCTAATTTGGGAGTGAGGCGGCCCCAGCTTAAAGCTAGGAGGAGGTAGCATTAGCAAGCCCATTAAAAAAGAATACCATGCATTGTGCCACATAATGCTTTTAAGAGCATCAAATCCCCTTACGGGCATAAACTCTAAAGGGCTAATCTAGCTGTTGCACCAAGTACTTGGATCACTGGATACCTACCACTACTACCGCCATAGCCGCCTCCGCCTCCTCCGTTGTTATAGCTGTCATAGCTGCCACTCCCGCCATAGCCACTGCCCTGGTTTCCATAACCCTGTCCACCACTTCCATAGCCTCTGCTTCCTCCAGAGTAACCAGGGCCGCCTCCTCCATAACCACCTACAAGAATACAATTCTTCTCAATAAGACAAAAGTATTCAACAATCAAAACCTGTGCAAGTGTAATGCCTAAAAGCCTGCACACAGCATGCTGTTATCAGATCTGAGCTTGTCATGCACTAGTTTACTAACCTCGTCTAAAGGTTGCCAAAAGAAATTTCACCTCTGAACTCCTTAAACTTACCATCATTACCAAATCCGTTATAGCCATCCCCACTGCCACCATATCCACCACCACCTCGACTGCCACCAAAGCCACCTGGAAGAGAGAATTTTATACCACTTTTTGAAGTATATAGATTATACATAATTTTTACCCTTCTAAATCTTTTAAAAACTGCGTTACAAAAATTGTTTTTATACTCAATATTTAACCCGGTTAGTGAGAAAGCCAGAACTACATTTGGATAAAATTTAACTTTGGAAACGTTGGCCAGTAGCTGTAGCTGCATCTACTACAGGTTGCAAAGAGAACAAGTCATCTGGGGATATTCAAACCACAAGCCTACTATTCTTATGGTAAACTATAACCACACATACCTCGACCACTGAAGTTCCCTCCACGACCAAAGTTGTCATTCCCACCAAAACCACCTCCACGACCACCACCAAAGTTTCCAGAACCACTTCGACCTTAAAAGATAAGTTTTACGTGTTAAATCATACAGATTAGAATTACTTAGCTATCTATACTGATCAATCAAATAAACCCACCTCTTTGGCTGGATGAAGCACTAGCCATCTCTTGCTTAGATAGGGCTTTCCTTACTTCACAGTTGTGGCCATTCACAGTATGGTATTTTTGAACTAGAAAATTATAAAGAGATCATCTCAGAGTTTAGAATATAACACGGACTTCAGAGCCCTTAGCAAAGAGCATGCCCCTGATACTTACTGACAATCTTGTCTACAGAGTCATGGTCATCAAATGTTACAAAAGCAAAACCTCTCTTTTTGCCACTGCCTCGGTCAGTCATGATCTCAATCACTTCAATTTTCCCATACTGTTCAAAATAATCTCTTAGGTGATGTTCTTCAGTGTCTTCTTTAATGCCACCAACAAAAATCTTTTTCACAGTTAAGTGGGCACCAGGTCTTTGAGAATCCTAATATGAAAAAGCCCAATTAAATTACTTACATCAGCAAAGGTATCCCTAATAAAGATCACTAAAATGTGTTAAGACCACAGAACTGAAGTCCACCTAGTGGCACAGTTCTAAATCGTCAGAGAAAGGAAAAAATTATCACTCACTTCTCTTGAGACAGCCCTCTTTGGTTCCACAACTCTTCCATCCACCTTGTGTGGCCTTGCGTTCATGGCTGCATCCACCTCCTCCACAGTGGCATACGTGACAAACCCAAAGCCTCTGGAGCGCTTGGTGTTTGGATCTCTCATTACCTGGAATGTTAACTCATTTAATACATAGTAAAACCCCAGAAGTTCTTGTCATTTCTACCCTGAGTAGGGTTAATAAAAGTCTTTATATCAGCCCTTCAATTTCCCACTACCCATCTAATATAAATTAACTAGGACCTTCTAATTAGGTAAAGCCACTTTCCCTTGTCAAATTATTTCCAACTATAAGCCCGTTAATCTTCATAAGCACACTAATTACAACAAAACAATCCAAGTAAATGAACTAGTTCTACTGGCCTTTTGTCTCTTCCAAGTCTTACCACACAGTCCGTAAGCGTTCCCCATTGCTCAAAATGGCTCCTCAGACTCTCATCGGTTGTTTCAAAGCTCAAACCTCCGATGAAGAGCTTCCGCAGCTGTTCAGGCTCTTTGGGAGACTAGGAGCAGTGGGAAAAACTCGTTACGTGGGGGCTATAACGCCAAACACCTTTCAGTTAGGAAAAGCAAAACCAGACAACTATGTTACATAGCCCTTATTGTTCCTTCGGGTCACAGCAAGCCACGTGCTTCTCCCCATTAGGGAAGATGGTACGTTGGGGGCTGGGAAGCCACGAGCGCATGCGTCCCTACTCTCCCTCCGACGCACGCGCAACAAAAGGACTGGGCTGGAAGAATACATAACCAGCAGGAAACCGGTACTGTTCTTTTAAGAACTCGCCCCCTGAGACAAAAGTAAAACAAAACCAATCGAATGCGCCTAAGTGATTCGCCAGGAGGGGAAAGCCCCGCGTGATAACCAAGTGTTGCAGGACGGCGGGCTCATGGCGACGACGAGGACAAAATGGCGACCTCAACTTTGGGAGGGGTAGGCCCCGGCAGCAACCGAAGAACTGCCGAATGAGCTGGCCCAAAAACCGAACCAGGTCGCATCCTACCGAACTCAGGAAGGAACGAGGAAAAAAATTAGATTGGAGACAGCGTGTTACTCACCTCTGACTTAGACATGACGGCGGTGGGGGGGAGACTCTAACGATGCTTACTCTGCGGCGTCCACGGGCAGAAAGGAGTAATCTAACGAACGTATCTGCCAGCCTACCTTCGGCCTCGCTTTTTTATCCCGCCTCCTCGCTTTAGGCATTGGTAGACTCCGCCCCTGAGTATCTCTGATTGGATATTTGCAATAGCTTTTCCCTGCTATTGGTCTGTGGTCCCGCATTGCTGTATAACGTCATCCGTTTGGGCGTTCTACGTAGTCTCCGCCCCTTAGGGGCCATTGGTTCCCGGGTAATATTACCTTTATCTAGTGTGATTGGCTCGCCAACCAATCATTCATATTTGAATGTACCTAAGGTATTTAAATAAATTTTTAATCCTTCACGCCTCGAAATTACGTTCAACTCACTTGGCAAAGTACGGTTAATACTATGTATTAGGAAAGAAGTTATCAGGTGACTTTTTTTTTTTGCAACGACCGCCTGCTGAGCGCATGTGTAGTAAAATGGCGAGTTTACGCAGGCGCATTAAGAAGTTCCGCTTGGCGCTTGGAGCACGTGAAATGGCGGGCGGGAGACGGCGGCGAATCTACAGCGCCTGCGTAATGGCGGGAGTTGTGCCCCGTTTTGCGCAGGCGTAATGGGCGGAGAAAGGGTCCAGTCCCAGGATTGGCCGCGCAGGCGCAGGGAAGGATCCGTTTTGGCGGGCGGTTGGCGTTGCGCAGAAGGCGGTGGCGGTGGTGTCTTGTGGTCCGGCCTCACCACAGAGGAACAGGGAAGACATTAGCGTGAGTGATCGGTCTCGATTCCGGGTAAGTGGCGGATAGAATTGCCTACCCATACGAGGTCTTGAACTGACTCCAGTTGGGCCCGTTATTGTGTGAAATGAATGGACCGCGGGGTGGGGGCTAGTGAAGGGGGAGCGGTGCGTACGGCCAACCAATGGAAGAACAGGGGCGGGATGTTTTATTCCTGTAAGTTCTGTGGAGCTTTGCTGCCGGAGAGTTTGACTGGCTTGTGTATGGGCCAATTGGGTCTGTCTTTAGCTGCCGAGTGATCGGTCCTTGGGCCATCGGAATGTGGGAGGCGGGTTTTCTGCTCCTGAGCAGCGTCTCCCTGAGCCAATGAGCACGGAGCGCGCGGTAGGTTGGGCTCCTCCAACAGGCAGCGGATTGACTTCCAATGGGGAATGCAGGAGTCGGGCGGTTAAATGGATGGACCAAATTTGGAGCCAGTAGGCGCATCGCCTACGGAAAGCGCTCGGGCAGGTCGTCCAGTCAGCAGTCCAGAAGAGAAAGGTCTTAAATTTCGGGTAGTGAAGAGGATTCAGTGCCTGTGATGGCGTGGCGGGTACATATTTTATCCACAATGACTTTTTTAACGAGGCCTTTAGGCCTCCATCCCACATACCATTCTGGTACGGAAACTATAAGTTTGCTCCTGTAGTGCTTCGAATTTGGCATTTTCACCCCCCACGTCGTTAGTTCTCACCACTCAGTACTTTCTAGGTTTTGAGAGGAGCAGGGAAGGTCTTTGGGAACTCACTTCTTTAGGACGACTGACTTGCAATGTTAGAACCAATAGGATAAATCTCTACTGTCTTGGAAAGGCGCCCGAGAAAAATCTACATAATGATGCATGTTTCTGCGGACAAATGGATACTTGTAAATCTATTTACAAAGTTTTGGAAGGCTACATACTATAAAGTGTGTTGTCTCTAGGGATAGATTGAGATCTAGGCAGGTTGGATCTCTAATGTTTAAGTTTTTTCAGGGATCATAATTTATGGTTAAATAAAGATGAAAAAGTCAGTTTTTGTGTTTCCAGTCATAATCACTTGCTTCTCACCTCTTCTTTTATCCTTACACCTCGAGAGAGTGCTGTGTTTTCCTTAAGAACTAAGGTAATCCTCAGGATAAGAATACAAATTATAAGGGGCGCCTGGGTGGCTCCGTCGTTAAGCGTCTGCCTTCGGCTCAGGTCATGATCCCGGGGTCCTGGGATTGAGCCCCGCATCGGGCTCCCTGCTCCGCGGGAAGCCTGCTTCTCCCTCTCCCACTCCCCCTGCTTCCCACTCCCACTCGCTGTGTCTCTCAAATAAATAAAAAAAATCTTTAAAAAAAAAACTTATCTTTTTAAAATTTGTTTTTTAAAGATAAAAAAAAAAAGAGCAGAAAGGGAACACAGGCAGGGGGAGTGGGAGACGGAGAAGCAGGCCTCCCCACTGAGCAGGGAGCCCGATGCAGGGCTCGATCCCAGGACCCCGGGATCATGACCTGAGCCGAAGGCAGTCGCTTAACGACTGAGCCACCCAGGCGCCCCCAAAAGATAACTTTTGCGTATTTAGTACCTGCTAGGGAGACATCACGCTAAGGACTTCACAAGCATTATCTATGTCTCAATGCTTTTATCTCAGTTTCTTCTTTGAGGAACTTTCCCTCTGTGTGTGTCTTTCTTTACACCATTAAAGAGTTTCTAAGTCCTCTTTCTGCTCTTGCTTTGAGGATATCTGAATTTTGATAAGTTGCTTAACAAGGGTGATATTTAGGGTGTTAGGGACAGGAGGAGTCAGCCATCACCTGGATTATTCCATTGCCTTGATTATATTTCCTTCAAAGTGTTTATTTTACAGGCATTGTAATCACCTGTTGGTAACACCCATTCAGCTGATTTGAAGATGTTTTGTAAAAAATTTTCATTACATAATGGCCATATCAGAATCTAAATTGCTCTCTTGTTCACTGACTTAAGGTTAATAGAAAAATGTTTAAATACTGTAATAAGTTCAACTACCTACGAAGTACACTTCTGATTAGAGACCTTTGTGACATTGTACAAAAGTTAATTTTAGTTGCCCTTATAATGAACAGAGGAGAGATTTGTGTTCTCTGACGCTTGCAAGAGGACAAATTTGTTGCAAATTGTTATAAACTGTTTGTTGGTATGCTAATAATGCAGCTGTTTCTGCTGAGTTTATAAGAACTAAAGGGATCTAGATTAAGGTTATCTGTCCCTAATTTATTTAGGTTCAAAAGGAATACAGTCTTGATCTACAGGGTTTTTTGTAGCACTGTTGACATTTTGAGCTAATAAATGCATCTCACCTCCTCCTTCACCCCCATTTGTGACTATCAAAATGTCTCCAGACATTGCCAGATGTCCTGGGGGTGTCAGTGGTGGTGGTGGTGTAAAATCTTCCTCAGTTGAAAACTTGATTTAGGGGCACCTGGCTGGCTTGGTCGGAGGAGCACGTGACTCTTGATCTTGGGGTGGTGACTTCAAGCCCCACCTTGGGTGTAGAGATTACTAAAAAAAAAAAAAGGAAGAAAGAAAGAAAAGAAAACCATTGATTTAAAGTGACAGTTGTGCTGGGGGTGCCTGGCTGGGCTCAGTGGAAGAGCACGCATGCGACTCTTGATCTCCGGGTCATGGGTTTGAGCCCCACATTGGGTGTAGAGATTATTTAAATAAACTTATAAGAATAGATAAGTAACATGACAGATGCTGGAATTGATTATCTTGTCAAAATCTTTTATTTTAATAATTGGAAATTAGAGGGAGAAGATGGGTGAAGTGTTTAGGAAGTGGCCTCTGGTAAATGGATCACTAAATCCTAACGGTTATCTCTTCAGATGTAGAGAGATCATCATTCCATTGGATAAAAGGAAAATTCATTAAGTTTTTACTATTTCTTGCACTTTAAACATGATTGATTTCATCCTTGCATCCTGTATTTGTTTGGCTGCTTAAATAATGGCAAATATGTTTTGGACAAAGGTGGACTTTGGGTTAGATGCTTACTAGATTTTCACTTGCTCCTGGGATTCTTTTGGATCAATGTGTCTCAAACTTTTGATCTTGACCCTTATAAGAAATACATTTACACTGACACTGTACATATATCAAAACAAGCTTCACTATATGAATATATGTGCATAGCACTCTGGTACTTTCTCATCTACAGTACACTTTCATTTTCTTAAAAATGCAGGTCAGTTTTTGCTGGTTTCATGGCTGTATAGACCCACAGATTGGGGAAAAAAGAAAACTGATCTGAAGAATAGGTAAATCTTGTCATCTTAAGAGTACTCCGAATGGGTTCCACCCATCTCCAGCCCCAGCTGCTTGGATTTATAAACAAATTAACCATGACCCTTTATTTGATGGTTTTAATTTGAAAGATTTCAGGATTTGAACATAGGCTTCTTGGTTTACTGTGATGTGCATGTACACATTGATTTTTTTGTGAATTCTCTTACGACGTTAGAGTTAATAGGTCTGATGAATATTTCTCTCCAGTAGGGAAATTTTAGTGGATAATTTTTCATTGATATTCTGAGACTATCACATTTAAAACTTTTTTTTTTACTTAAGATTTATTTTATTTATTTGAGAGAGAGAGAGAGAGGAAGCGTGTGCACGCTTGTGTGTAGGAGCCAGGGGCTGGCGGGGGCAGGGAGAGGGAGAGAACCCTCAAGCGGATTCCCCTCAGAGCCAGGTGCGGAGCCAGATGCGGAGCCAGGTGCGGGGCCCAATTCCAGGACCCTGAGATCATGACCTGAGCCAAAATCAAGAGTTGGATGCTCAACTGACTGAGCTACCCAGGTACCCCCAAATTGAAAATCTTAAGTTTAGACTTATTTCTTGCCTTTGGAGAACCTGGTTTGGTTTTCATTTGTACTGATCTGTTAACAAGATGTTTAGCCTGTGTTACAAAATTAAATTTCAAGTACTTGTGTTTACAAGTTAAGGATGTATTATTGCTGCCAAACCTAAAAGGATAGTGTTCCCTAAAAGGGAACATAACACATCTTCACTGGTCTGTCTGAAAACCCAATATAAGTAGAAAGCTATCTGGATTGTAGGTGAGCAGGGTAATGGTTGAGGCAAAATAGAAAAAAGAACATTGCTCTGCAGTGGCTGGATTTTTATATTTCTAGGAAAGTTTTGGTAGTTTTCAGAGCCCTTGTTAGTAGCTCTAGAAAAGAGAAAGATATCCAGGGTACAGAGGTTTCTGAGAAAGAGTAGTAATTTTTATTTAGGTATTTTATTTAACCACATAGCATGATTTATGTATCTTATTGGAATAGCACATTTAACAGATCCAAGCTTTTCTTGTTCTTTTGCTTGGTCTATTTTTATTTCCACTTACCTTATATGAAATTGGACTTAAAGCTGTGTGCTGTGGATATTGATTTTATTTTATTTTTTTTAAAGATTTTTTTATTTATTTGAGAGAGAGAGAATGAGAGAGAGCATGAGAGGGAAGAGGGTCAGAGGGAGAAGCAGACTCCCCGCTGAGCAGGGAGCCCGATGCGGGACTCGATCCCGGGACTCCAGGATCATGACCTGATCCGAAGGCAGTCGCTTAACCAACTGAGCCACCCAGGCGTCCCTGGATATTGATTTTAAAAGTAGTAAATGACAGTGTGAGATATCACTTGTAACTGACTCAGCATAGCTGCTATTTACATTGTTATTCATGAACTTGAACTCTGGGCAGTTATCTTTTTTCCCTGACATAAACTTTTATTTTCCTTTCCTCCTTATAGAGGATGCCTTTTAGCTGATCATTGTACTAATGGGAAAGAGTCCAGGTCATCCTGAGAAGAGTTGGCTTGTGCAGAGTCCAAGATACAGCTTTGTTGGATTTCTGTAAGCTACTCGAAGCCACATATTCATTTCTGATGACAACTTTACACTTGTGTTGGCAGAACACCCACAGTGACAACTGGTGCCTATGTTTAGTCTGTCCAGGAGCTCTACCAGCTAACATGTTTGGGGAAAAACCTACACTGTTCTTGTTAGCAGC